AAATGAACAAGAAGATCCAACACAGGAAGCACCGCCGGAACAAGCTCCTGACAACCAACCACCACTAGATGAAAATTGTACAAGCAGTGAAGAAGAGCAAGAAAATGCATCCGATGACGATTTCGTTTATAAGGATCACAACCCTGAAAATGAAGACTTCGAACCTAAACAATTAAGGGATCGCAGTAAATTAAATCGTCCTGATTATTACGGTGCGACGGCTTTTTGTGGTTCAATTTTCGTACCCGAGTGTTACAATCAAGCAATCAAAAGTGAAGACTCAGAACAATGGAAAAACGCCATGCAGGAGGAAATGGACGCACTGGCATTCAATGATACATGGACTCTAGTAAAACCACCGGAGGGTTCGCGTGTGATTGACAACAAATGGGTGTTTCGCATTAAAAGTGACAATAAAAATGTTCGTTATAAAGCACGCCTTGTTGCTCGCGGGTTCACACAACAAGAAGGCATAGACTATCAAGAAACATTCGCGCCGGTAGTTCGATATGATTCTATACGGATTTTACTTGCTTTAGCAGCCGAAAAGGACTTACAAATAGCCAATTTTGATGTAAAAACTGCCTTTCTTTACGGTGAGTTAAGTGAAGTTGTCTACATGAAACAGCCAATGGGATTTGAAAACAAACAGAAACCTGATCTGGTATGTAAACTCAAGAAGAGTCTATACGGATTAAAGCAATCCCCACGTTGTTGGAACCGTAAGTTCGTTTCATTTTTAAATAAATATAATTTCAAACAATTGAAATCTGATCAGTGCGTATTCATTGGCAAGTTCGCGAATTCAGAAATTTATTTGGCTATTTACGTCGATGACGGACTTTTGATGTCTAAATCAAACGAAGCAATTAAAGAACTGATAACAATTTTAAAAGAAATGTTTAATATCACGGTAAATTTCGATAATAAAAACATTCAGTTCGTTGGTTTACAAATCGAGCAAAATTTATCCGAAGGAACAGTTATTATTCATCAACAGGCTTACATTACAAAGTTACTTGATAAATTCAATATGAATGACGCGAAACCGTTGACAACACCAGCCGAACCGAGTTTACATTTGGTCGCTCCGAAAGAAATAAACAATAATCAGAAACAACCATATCGCGAGACTGTCTATATATGTCACGTCGATAATTTGTTAATTATTTATTTTAACTACCTGATTATTGTTAGAAATAGTTCGTTCACTCAGGTGTGTTAGTGCTAACGTGGAGGGTTATATGTTGTACGTGCGTCGCGCCGGTGGTGTGATTATGTAGTAGTAGTAGAAGTAAGGTACGCACCGTCGTCTGATAAGGGTTTGTGACGTGCGTTAAACGTGTCGATTGTCGGGCTAAATTAAATATACTACTGTTTAACTGTATACTGTTTCTTTGTTTGTTTTATGTGTTATGAATTACGTTTGTATTATGCTTTAATAAAACCCCTAAAAGCCCAGTGGCCCAGACCCATGCGTTAAGTTACCTTGAAATTATCGATTGCTACCGTCGTTGAAGTACACAGGTGTTATTTCGCTGCTACCGGGATTATATAAAAAGTGACGCAATGAATTCACACGTTGCTCGTTTCGAATTACTAAACCGGGCGAATTATGATACTTGGAAGCTTCAAATGTAAGCACTACTAATAAAAAACGACGAATGGGGTTATGGGAGCGGTGTAACGCAGAAACCGATTCCAACAACAAACAATTGAAACAAATAAAAGGATGTGATACATTAAGAGAAGTTTGGCTTAAACTAGAAGGCATTTATCAATCGAAAGGACCCGCACGAAAAGCCACATTGTTAAAACAGCTAACTCTTCAAAGAATGGACAGACTAGAAGAGATGGGAGTTAGAATAGACAACGACTCTCAATTCTGTTATTATATAGTCTTCCCCAGAAATTCGAAAATTTCCGATGTGCAATCGAATCCAGAGACTCGTTACCTACTTCGGAAGCTCTCCGCATAAAGATTGTGGAAGAATATGAAGCCCGTCAACACGATGTCTACGGCTACACTCAAAGTGCATTACAAACGAAGGGTCATCCAAAACGCTATGCAAAGAAGCATGAATGGGAAAATCAGAAGAAGTCGAACGAACCTAATAAAGTACAATTCAAATTTCTAAAAATTGGACATAAAGCTGCTGAGCACACCGAATCCAAGAGAAGCAATGGAAAGAACAATACCGACGTCACATATTTCACTACCCAGGCAAATCGCGTTTCTAACACCTCAAATCTGGGATGGTGTTTGGACAGCAGCGCTACATCTCACCTATGTAAGGACCCTGACGCGTTCGCGAGTTTAACGAAAAACGATGTCGGTGACGTGAATTTGGCAGATGGTAGTGCGGTCACCATAGTCGCGAGTGGAAGAGCAAAAATTCGTAACGAATCATCAAAGACAATTACAGAAATTACATTACGTTGTTCCCAAATTAAAAACGAATTTAATGTCAGTTTCCAAGGTTACCGATCGCGGATTTGAAGTATCGTTCAAAAGAAACAAAGCGGAAGTACTAGATAGTGCCGGAAACGTCAAAATGACGGCCAAACGTATCGGCGACTTATATTATGTGCGCGAATATCGCGAACCGAAGCCCGAAGGCGCATCGTTTACTACGGATTCTACAGTTCCAAAGCTATCACTCGATGAATGGCATATAAGAATGGGGCACCTCAATATAACGGACTTAAAGAAACGGTCTACTCACTGGAATAAATATCGAAAAAAAAAGACGTCGACTTACAGTGCGAGACCTGTATCAAAGGAAAACTATCGCGATCCCCTTTTCCTAAAAATCATTAAAAAGCATCCGAAGTACTAGAAGTCATCCACACTGACGTATGCGGTCCTATGCGGACGGAATCCATGGGAAAGGCAAGATTCTTCGCTACATTCACTGACGAAGCTACACGTTGGAGTGAAGTTTGTTTCATCAAGTCTAAAGACGAAGTCATCGATAAATTTATCGAAGTTAAGGTAAAATTCGAAAATCTCAAGGGAAAACGTGTGAAAGTATTACAAAGCGACAATGGTACCGAATATGTGAACGGAAAATTCAACGAATTGTTGAAGTCATCAGGAATAACAAGAAGACTGTCAGTACCCTACCACCCACAACAGAATGAACTTTCCGAGCACAGAAATCGAATTTTGCTAGATATGGCACGAAGTTTACTTATACAAGCTAATTTACCACTGAGTTTTTGGGCCGAAGCGGTCAACACTGCGAACTACTTGCGCAAACGCAGCCCAACTAGTAGTCCACACCTTACAAAGCATGGTATGGTAAACCACCGAATGTGTCTCACTTGAGGATATTTGGTTGCAAGATGCATTACCTCGACTCCACAGTCGGAAAGGACAAGTTCAGATCTCGTACAAAGGAAGGTATATTGGTGGGATACTTAGAGACTTCAAAAGGCTACAGAGTTTGGAGTCTGATTGAGAAAAGAGTTGAGATTTCCCGTGACGTTAAGATACTTAGAGACTTCAAAAGGCTACAGAGTTTGGAGTCTGANTGTAGTAAGTTATTTGGTGGCGTTCTAGAGAATAAACACTTTCTTACGGATGTCGGTTTTAAATTTTTTTATCGAGTTATTCAGTAGTGAGTCTTTTATATTTAGATGAAGATCATTAAATTGTTTGCTTAGTCTGTTAACTACTGACCTGTTCGATAGGAAGGTTGATCAGATGTCTACGTTAAAGAGCATATTATTATTTCGTAAGGTTCTTCCTGTATTCCTAACTGAAAAACGATTTAATAGCTCTGGCTCAGAAATCATATTATTGTGATGCTTAAACAAAAAAAGTAGATTATTATACATAAATGTCGTCATTATCGGTTTGTAGTCGTGGTCAAAAGTACTAATAGGTTTTCCAGTTCTCGCAGCAATAACTCGTAAGAATCTATGTTGTACGGGTTCGAGACAATCGAAAGTAGTATTTGTTTTCGGGCACCAGATTATTGAAACAAAACACAATACAGATTTAACATAAGTGTTGTAAAGAAGACAAAAAGTTTTGGGGTTTTTATAAGATTTTGAATTTCGCAACAGTGAGGATAGTATTCTGGTAGCTTTAATGCTTGCGTAATCAACATGTTTATCAAAATTCAAGCCACTGTCAAAGATTACACCCAAATCTTTGACAACTATAGGTCTATTGAGAGGGGTGCCGTCAATTAGGTAATTGTAAACTTGGCTTGTCTGATTCTTCTCGAACGTCATACACCCACACTTATCAACATTTATTTTAAGTTGGTTATTGCTTAGCCACTGTACCACGCTATCGAGGTCGCATTGTAGGTAGGAGCGATCTGAATCGTTAGCTATTTTTAGTGACAATTTCGGATCGTCAGCATACATTCTCGCAACCGCATGCTTCACTGCAAGAAACAGATTATTTACAAATATAATGAAGAGGAGTGCACCACATTGTAAACCCTGTGGTACACCACTCTGTATGTCAATGTTAGGCGATAAGTCATTGTTAATTTTTACAGTAAATTGACGCAACGATAGATAAGCTTGTATCCATTTCAGTGATTCACCAATAATACCATAATCTCTTAATTTTAACAAAAGTAAATTGTGATTTACAAAGTCGAATGCGGATGACAAATCAGTATAAACTGTGTCAACACTTATATTGTCTTTAAATGCGTCCGTAATATATTCTAGGTGTGAGGCCAAGTTGGACACCACTGAGCGTCCTTGTAAAAAACCGTACTGTTTAGAGTTAATTTTTGGAGCGAGAAAATTTGAAAGGATATCATTTATTATTTTGTCGAAAATTTTCGCAAAAAGTGAGACCTTACTTATTGGCCAGTAATTTGTTATAATCTGGAGTTTCCAAATTGACGGAAAAAAAGAGTCATGCAATGATCTGTTAAATATTTGAAACAAAGGACGAGCGACAGTAGTGACAGTATTTTTTTATGAAAATAGAAGGAATACGATCTGGGCCCGCATCTAGGGTCATTTTTATGGAAGACAAATGAAGCAGAACAGTGGCCCGGTCAATATGAAAGTTTTTAAGTTCGATTTTGCTATCAGTAATCCCGTGATACCCGTTATATATGAATGAGTCATCTGCCAGAAATTTGGTAGAATAAACTTTAGCAAATAAACTGGCTACATCCGAGTCACTCTCTGCGCATATCTGCCATTCCATTCAACGCCATTGCTCCAGCAGGAAGCTCTTGGTTTGCCACAAGTCACATTCGACCAGAATTGCTGAGGTTGTCGCAATATATTACCTTCAATTTTGTAATTATAATTATTTATCGCCGCTTTACTTAACCTGTTACATAGTGATCTTTGTGCTCTAAACTATTGGTAAGCATCCGTTGATGAAGTGGATTTGTAAACTTACTGTAATGTTTTCTTTACTTTAACTTCACGGATAATTTCTGAAGTTAACCAAGGAGGGCGCTGGTGAGTAGTCGGTAAAGACTTAGGCACAAATTCATTGATCAAATTATCTAATATTTTATAGAACCAATCAACTATATAATCAAGGAGTAACTTTGGATCGTCAATAAAGGACCAGTCTATCAGGTTTAGTTTGACCTTAATCACGCCATAGTCTGCAGCATAGAAGCGCCGTCGGTTACAATTTGTATATGTTGGCGGTGCATATGTCCTTGTCCTAATATCCAACGAGATGATCAGAGGTGGATGATACTTATCCAGTAGAACTAAGGGATCAATAGAGATGTCACACGTAGTATTCGGTATATTCGTGAAGATCAGATCCAATAGATTAGAGGAGGTATCAGCCTTTGGTGCTATTTGTTGATAATCGTATTCATTCATCGTAAGGCATATATGAAATATTATTCTGAAAATTCATTTCTGAATTTTCACCCACTACGTACTACCTCAAATTAATGAAGGAAAAATTGTTGCTGTTGTCACACTCCCGCTGGGAATCGAACCCGGGACCTTTGGCTTTACGCACCAATTGATTGTGTATGCGGTGTTGTGTATATAAGAGCAACTATGAAACCGGTTGAAAAGTTAAAGATTTTGGAAATTATGAATTCGAACGAAGTGTCACCGGTGAATAAAAGTTTGTAGTTGAGATTTTGCTTGAGGTATAATATTACGCCTCCGCCTCGCGACTTCTAACATTTTAATAGTAGAGATGTAATTTGAGATGTTCCCCGCCGGTATCTAATTTTTTGATGAAGATGAAGTTGCTGCCGGTTCCGTTGAGCGGTTTCTAGGATGGTTTTGAACGACCCTCGGAATACCTCCAAAGCAACACAACGTCCATTTATTTGGTTCTTTTTCTTGTTTAAGCCTGAGTTCTTGGATAACGGCGGAGAGCTGTTCACGTTGAAATGGGGTTTGATCCATTTTACATTGGATCACTTTTCTGAATATTTTCTCTTTGTTTTTTAATATATTTAGAGCGGTATTAGAATTCGGTAAAGTCAGTTTGAGATGTCGTTTTTTTCCATCCGATTTTTTACCAATTCGAAAGTGACTGAATGAGAAGACGTCTACTGAGAGATGAGTTAAATAGTTTGTTAGTAATTCCTTTTCATTCTTATCAGATTTGTCATCGATATTAAAAAGAATAAGGTTCCTAGATCTGATGTCACGCTCTCTTATTTCATGCAATATTTCTGTTTTTAAATCATTCGTCATCATGTCCTGTTTTGTTATTTAATTCTACGATTTGGGCGTTTATATCTGTGACAGCGGTATCTAATGTACGCATATTTTGGGCGAGCCTATCTGTAGTTATTTTGGAATATGAGAGATCGACCTATAAAATGTCCAAATAATCTTACATCTTACTATTATCTGCTTGGATATCCTTTATGTCCTGTTGCATTCGTGTAATTGTGTAAGAAAGACCATCGATTTTTTTACTTAAAAGATTGGTATTAAAATTTCCTTGGTTTATTAACATATCCAATTTGTCTTCGAGTGAGCTTGGGGTTGATTTATTAGCAGCAGTTAGAAAGTTTGTGTCTGTATTTACCACTGCTAAGTCAACGGTATTGCCAAGGAGAGCAGGTGATGCGGAACGAGAGGAAGAGGCTGATGTGCCCGCCGAATCAGTGCGTTGCGATCAGCAAGTGAATCAGTCCTTGAGCAACACCTGTATATTCCTGGCTTGCTTGTTTGACATTTAGTTTCACCGCAGGAAGGATGAAAGGTTTCATTGCACTTCTGACAGTGCTTAACTTCCTTAGCAATCCTCTTGTTACAGTATCTACATATGGGTAGACCATCTGCCATTTTTAAGTGAGGAACTTGTGTTTGGTGAAAAAACACTGAGTTTATCAGATTATAGTGAGGAACTATGCTGAACCGAACTTGTTGAATATTTACACTGTGTTTGTAGATGAAACATACAAAAGGTAGAGCAATGCAAATTTATGTTAAATTAAGCAATTCAAAGATAACTCAAACAACGCGATTTTTACAGAACACCACACCATACCACACCACGCGACTTCTCACAATATAATATAATATGTCTATTTATGTAAGTTTTGTTTACAGGTTTGACAAGTAAAAAGTTCATCCGTGAGATTATTGAATAATTTCTACTTAAGTATGCAATTTTGATGATAAGTATGAGTACAGTTAGAACATCGATATCCTATAGATGTATTATTAATATTTAGAACGCATATAAAGCACAGTCCACTATATATTTGAGTGTTCGGTATGTCGCTGTGTACAGAGGAATCACTATCTATTTTTTTTTTATTCTCATGCTCTGCTAAATTGCTGAATACATTTCTTTTTACTTTTTCTACTGCATTTCTAACTTGAACATGTGACATAACATTAATGGTTTTGTGATCATTATCTTTAACACTACATTCAATCATTTCTTCATTTACTGATTTTGTTTCAGTTTCAACGGTATTTTTTTTAATTTTCTTTTGCTTTTGACGATTTATTGTTTGAGTATTTATCTTGTTTCGTTTTAGAATCTTCGTTCTCTTAACTTTATTTGCCTCGGTTGCTTTTTTCTTGTCAATACGTTTCCGCTTTCGTTCTTCTTTTTCCTTTTCTTTGTTTATTTTTTTCTCTCGTTTCATTGCCTTTAACATTTTCCATTGGTTTGACGTAAGTACGAAAGGCATTCTCTCTGTGTTTCGTGTGCCTTTTCTAACGGGACTTCCTGGCCACACTAAATAATCTTTTATTGATCCAGTACTATAGTTCGTCGTCTGATCCGTCATGTTAGCGCCCAGAGAACTTCTGATAAAAACTCCATTGTTACGGGTAATTTTAATAGCGTGTCATTTGTGCCTGAAGATATTTCTGAATTGAGATTCTCAGTTTGTTATAAAGTTTTTATAGGAAAATCATCAAATTTCTGCTATGTCGAATATTTCTTCGTCGTCGTTTAGAGGATTAACATCTTCAGCTACTTCTATAATAATTGGAGGTCGACAGCATTAGCTACAGATGCAGCATTTACTGCATTAATGTTCACTTGCGGTTTAGTAACTGTTACCTTAAATCCTGTCCACAATTTGTATAAAATCCAGAATTCACTAGAATCTTCTTTTGTTACCTCATAAACTGTTTTGAATTGGTTGATTAAATCTTCCCCAACTATTTCGGCAAATGTTAGGTAGCATAGGTCTGGTGGTAGGTTTCTGCTCTGAACTTCCAAAGTCTGTGAAGAATTCAATTTTCCGAGGCACTTGGTGTAATCAATTGCGTTGACATTCCATGGACACAAACCAGTAGCTATAAAACCATTTTTTACAGCGTCTGACTAAGAATTTATCGAGAACAATTTGTAAAACGTTGTTAAATTTTTCTTGAGTTAAAGCTTATTTTGCTTTCTCCAACATAAAACTGCCTTTTTCCAATAAGATTTTAGTGGCTTGAATGCCCTTACGCCCTCCGGTTGTAAGATACGAGTTGAATTTGCATATAGGATAATTAAGATGATTTTAAGTTGAGAACAGAGATCACTTAGCTGGTAAGACATATGAGTACTATATCCATCAACAAATAAGATGATTGGCAATTTCATCTTCTTTCTTTCCAAGTAGGGATAGAAAACATTAGCAATGTATTTAAAGAATAGTTCTGTTTTCATCCAACCATTTGAACTTGTCCCAATTTCCCGTTCATCCGGGACACATGCAGAAATTGAAGAGAGCAATCTTTTATATGGATAAATTATAAAAGGAGCCGTTACTTCACCTTCAGCGGAAAAGGTAAAAAGAACAGTAAGATTTGATTTAGGTGGAGCATTATCAATTTCATAAACATTTTTGGCTCCTTTAGGAGCTAGTACTTTTTAGTTTTCAGACACAACGTGAAGCATGTTTCATCAGCGTTGAAAGCTCTTGATGGATCCTTAACCTTCCGTAGCTAACACGCCGTCTGTGAGACCGACGCCTAAGAAAATTTCCAATTATTCCCAAAGAAATCGCGAACGCGCTTGGCCATTCTCAATAGCTGATTTTCTAGGGCTAGTGGACTCAGTATCAAAATTACTGCGGAGGTGAATCGTTGTAGCGTGTGTTATTAAGTATTCGGTCTCTGAGACGGATGTTGGTTGTGGTGTAACTTTTGTGGTAAGTTAGGTTTTTGTTTTATTTTGTAAGAATTGTACTAATTATTTATTGGTTTTAGAGATTTCCGTAAATATGGCTTCTTCAACTTATGAAGAAGAAGAAGAAATTCGACTACAGCATATGTTTGATGAAATTGAAACGGACGTAGACGTAGCAGAAGATAGCGATTCAAGTTTGGGGGAAGACAATATTGAGATTCAAGAAGAAAATTCCGACAGTGAACAAGACATAACAGATAGCGAACTAAATGGAAGTGGAAGCTGTAAACAGAGAAGAGAAACTCGCATACCTTGCATGATAGGAAAAGATGGAACCAAGTGGAGAAACCATTGTCACCGATATCCCAATGTAAGAACTGAGTTCTTTGAATATTTTAACAATAACCTACCAAAATTCTTCTCCCTTTCGCAGTATACAACAATCGATGAAATGTTATGGGCATTCAGAGGAAGGAGTATATATACCCTCGAAACCCAACAAATATGGCCTAAAAGTGTATGCATTGGTAGATGCAAAAATGTTTTATACTGCGAAAATGGAAATATATGTTGGTCAACAACCAGTGGGGCCATTTTATGTAAACACATCAAATATGTTTCTGGTGCCAAGATTATGTCAACCAATTTCTGGATCTAATCGGAATCTCACAACAGACAACTTCTTTTCAAGTATTCCATTAGCATATACTCTTCTCCAAGAGCATAAACTGACACTTATTAGTACTTTGAAAAATAATAAACCGCAAATAGCACCAGATATGATGATAAAGAGGCCCGAAATGACGACTATGTTCGCATTTGAAGAAAAAAGTAGCTTAGTATCGTAAATCCATAAACCACGAAAAAACGTATTTTTTCTTTCAACTATGCATCTTGACGACTCGATTGATGGGGAAACAGGAAAAACATCGATTATAATCGACTATAACAAGACCAAAGGCGGAATGGATACGGTTGACAAGTTATGCGCAGCTTATAACTGCGCTAGGATTACCCACCGCTGGCCTCTAGTTCTTTTCTATGGCCTGTTAAATATAGCAGGTATTAATTCTTACATTATATATAAAAATAACAATATCGACAAAAACATTCCAAGGAAAATATTTTTAGAAATACTGGCAAAACAGTTATTGGAAAACCATATAAAAAAGCGTTTTAACTGCAATACGGTTCCTAGAACGTCCAAATTGCGGATTCAAGAAATCTATAACATTGCAACTACTGAAAACGTACAAAATCAACCCCCTACACATGGTCGATGTCATTACTGCTCTAATAAAAAAGTAGGAAGACCAGACTTAGTTGCTATAAATGTAAAAAATTCATGTGCTTTGGGCACTTATCTGCTATCTGTAAGGAGTGTGCTGAAATTTAAGTCCAAGTTTGTATATTTGCTTTCAGTTTATATATAATGAATGTGCATTTTTTTTTTTAATGTTTTCTAATGTTTTATAAATAACGTAATTAGTTTACTTACCACAGAAACTGTTTCTGTTTTTAATTATAGACATTTTAAAAATACTATGTTTTTTTCCACCCCAGTTTGTTTGTTATTTAATAATCTCATTAAAAATCGTGTAACAAGTACAATTTTTCCATTTTTTCTTTTTAACCACCTTACCCTAAAGTATAACATTTCAAGTCATTTTTTTTTCCACTTGTTAATTAGGTTTTTCTTAGTCGGTTTCAGAGACGGATGTTAGCTTTCTTGTTAAAATTAATCATGTTAGCTACGGAAGGTTAAGAATGTGAAAGCAATTTTCTTCTTTAAGGTATGTTTCAATCTGGAAAAACCACTTGCGAATATCTTGTTCGCTAACTCGAGAACTTGCAGCAGTTACTGCCTCAGGAACTCTCTCACACAGTACAGGATGTCGTTTAAAGAAAGCTTTGTACCATCCGTGGCCAGGTAGATTATCCTTAAAGGGATTTGGCCTCGGGTTTTCTTCTAAGAAACTTTTTACGCTAATCTGCAAGTCTTCCTTTCTTCTGAGAAACCCTCTTCTGTGACTCTGTAAAATCCAGTCTACTAAAGTTTCTGCTTCTGTTTGGGAATGGATTGGACTTGGGCTTAGAGTTGATTTAGAAAATTTGGCGCTTAGCCGAAATTGTAACGTGGAACGGGGTACTCCATATTTCTTCACAGCCGCCTTCTTTGAACATCCATTATTTTGAATATCTTCTAGAGCTTTTGAAATGACTCCCTCGTCATATTTTCTTTGACATTTTCTGTGTTATCTAACTTTTGACATGGCGGCAATCTGTATGGTTTTGTGTGTTAGTTACTGGCACCCACCAAACACAGTGATTGTCACCAGTGCCAAGCACTGTCTACAATAGTTCTATTCCACAAAAATGGACAAATAACAAATTATAATATCTTACCTAAAATATAATGCTGAGATCTATTTTACCTTCAAGAAATTATTTAATCATTTGTATAGTAATTGGCACCCTATACCAATCACTAAATTACATGGTAAAGCAAAGCCAGTGGTTGGCACTAGCAATAATTATTTATTTTTTTTTACATAAAACGTTAATATACCTAAGTTTATTCCCAGATAGGTTCCTAAGGGGATTGTTTTAATAAAATCCTAATCCGAAGGGGCTATTGGACGATTATGGAGAGACTACCGTTACACATTTGTTTAAAAACTCACTATAAATAAGAAGAATGGTTAAAAAAATTAAAAGGAATACTCACCCCTAACTACCACAAATCATTTTATTTGAGCGGACACGTGTTTCGCCCACTTCATACGTGGGCATTATCAACGCGAGACTGGTTCTAAAATTTTTTTTTTTTGTTTTCGGGGAAGAGGGGAAATTTTCAAAAGACAACCTGCCGTCCGTACGACAGGGTAGTGTTGCGCCTACCAACTAAAACCCCTCTACCTCAGGCCGTTCTAGGACCAGTGAAGTTGGTCCTCTTCAGCCATATGTGTAGTTTTGTTATCTGATTTGTGATTTTTTGTGAGTGTTACTTGTGTGTGTGTTTGTGTTTAGTTGGGTTGGTTTTGTGGTTATCTGATGGAGTTGGGTAGGGCATTAAGGTGGTCGATGACATCATCGGGGATATCTGGGGTAATGGACAGGAGTCGGACGGGAGGGAAATTGACTTTTTGTTTGGGTTTGGTGGTTATTCTGCGGGGACGTTGTGTAAGTATACGTGTGGAGATGGGGTTATTTGTTTGGATGGCTCTTTTAACAAATTTGATTTGAAGTGTGATGATACGGTCTGTGATGGGTGGGATATTTACTATGTTGTACAGGTCTTGTGAAGGGAAGAACCTTCCTAATCTGGCTATTTTCCTTAGGATTCCTCTTTCGGTGGCGAGAAGGACTTGTAATTGGCTATCGGAATTGTTTGTTAGTGAGACTGCTCGGTAATCGATTAGTGGTCTTACGAAAGTTTTGTATGTGTGGAGCAGTGTTTCTATGCTACATGATTGTCTGGTGCCGTTTATGAGATATAAAAGGTTTGCCCGCTTACGAACTTTGTCTAGTGTTATTGCTAGATCCTTGTGTGGGTTCATAGTGTGCGTGAGTGTTATTCCCAGGTATTTTATTTCCTTTTGTAGTCGTAAGTGGGTGTTGCAAATTTGAATATTAATGTGGTCGGGTGTATGTGTGGGTTTGCGCGTGTACCTATCATGTGTAAATAATATTAATTGTGACTTATCTGGGTTTGGTTGTAATCGCCATTTATTGAGCCAGTGTTCTAGGAGTTTGATTTGACGTTTTAGTTTGTTGTTGCAGGAGTAGGAGGTTAAGCTGTTAGCCCAGTACGCAGTATCATCTGCGTATTGACATAGGCTGACGGTGTTTTCGATAGGTTGGGGTAGGTCGTGGCAGAATATGTTGTATAGATGCGGAGCGAACACTGTGCCCTATGGTACTCCGGCATTAAGTGAGAAAGTTCGCGAGAAGGTATTACCGATTTTGATTCGGGAGGGTCTGTTTGTTAGAAACGAGTGTATTATTTTCACGAAGTGTGGTGGTAGGTTGATGTGAAGTAATTTGTACAAGAGACCGTTATGCCATACAGTGTCGAAAGCTCTTTCTGTATGGTCTTTTCCTGGTTTGGGTATCATTATTATGTTCGCGCTTTTCCAGGTTGTGGGGTAATATCCGGTTGTAAGTATACCGTTGTAAATGCGGGTTAGATATTCTATTGCTGAAGGCGGTAGGTTTTTATTGGTGCTGTTTGTTATTCCATCTTCTCCCGGGGAATTGTTTTTAAGTTTCGCGAATATGTTTGTTATGTCGTCAGAAGTAATTTCGCGCAAAATGTGTTGGGTGTAGCATGCTGTTTGAAGTATTTGTGTGGTGTGTAAATTTACGGATCTAATGTGTGCCGCGTCATACTGTGGGGCCGTGTGTGTGGTGTGAAGTAATTCAATTGTATCCGCGAACGCGCTTGCTTTTTCAGCGGATGTGTTATAAATTTGATTATTGACGATCAAGTGGCTGATGGGAGTTGTTTTTTGCCCGGTTAATGTTTTAAATTTGTTCCAAAATTGGGAGCCGTTATGGTTATTTAATTTTGAACAAGATTCGTGCCATCTGTTTTGTTGATGGTTGTTGACTTCGCGGCGGACTAGGGCGTTTAATCTGTTCCATTCTGTTTTAACGAGTGGGTCGCGTGTTCTGGTGAAAAGTCTATATAGTTCGCGCTTTTTTTTATAATTTTAACAATTTCCGGTGGTAACGGTTTTCTACCGATATATATACGTTTTGAAGGTGTGGTTTCATTGACGGCGTTTTGGATAGTAAGAGTATATATTTCAATCGCGTTATCTATATCGGCGGCGTTATGAATTATTGGCGGAGTTAAGTTCGCGTTTGATATTTGCTCCCGGAGATTATTAAAGTTAATTTTTTTGTAGTCGCGTATTTCATTGTATGATGGTTGCGTAATTTGCGGCGTCTGAATCTGCATTGTNAGGAGTAGGAGGTTAAGCTGTTAGCCCAGTACGCAGTATCATCTGCTTATTGACATAGGCTGACGGTGTTTTCGATAGGTTGGGGTAGGTCGTGGCAGAATATGTTGTATAGATGCGGAGCGAGCACTGTGCCCTGTCGTACTCCTGCATTAAGTGAGAAAGTTCGCGAGAAGGTATTACCGATTTTGATTCGGGAGGGCCTGTTTGTTAGAAAGGAGTGTATTATTTTCACAAAGTGTGGTGGTAGGTTGATGTGAAGTAATTTGTACAAGAGACCGTTTTGCCATACAGTGTCGAAAGCTCTTTTGAAATCTAAGGCGATTGCAAGTGTGCAGCCGCCTGTGTTTATGTACGAAGTTACTTCAGATTGGAATTTTAGGACAGAGTCAAGGGGGATCGTCCCTTTCGGAACCCTGTTTGTGAATTAGGAATGATATTGTTGTGACCGCAGTATTCGGTTAGTCGGGACGCGATAATACGTTCCAATATTTTTCCGGAGTTGTTTACTAGGGAGATAGGGCGTTATGATTTCGCGTCTATATGGTCTTTTCCTGGTTTGGGTATCATTATTATGTTCGCGCTTTTCCAGGTTGTGGGGTAATATCCGGTTGTAAGTACACCGTTGTAAATGCGGGTTAGATATTCTATTGCTGAAGGCGGTAGGTTTTTAATGGTGCTGTTTGTTATTCCATCTTCTCCCGGGGAATTGTTTTTAAGTTTCGCGAAAGTGTTTGTTATGTCGTCAGAAGTAATTTCGCGCAAAATTTTGTGTTGGGTGTAGCATGCTGTTTGAAGTATTTGTGTGGTGTGTAAATTTACGGATCTAATATGTGTCGCGTCATACTGTGGGGCCGTGTGTGTGGTGTGAAGTAATTCAATTGTATCCGCGAACGCGCTTGCTTTTTCAGCGGATGTGTTATAGATTTGATTATTGACGATCAAGTGTCTGATGGGAGTTGTTTTTTGCTCGGTTAATGTTTTAAATTTGTTCCAAAATTGGGAGCCGTTATGGTAATTTAATTTTGAACAAGATTCGTGCCATCTGTTTTGTTTGGTTGTTGACTTCGCGGCGGACTAGGCCGTTTAATCTGTTCCATTCTGTTTTAACGAGTGGGTCGCGTGTTCTGGTGAAAAGTCTATATAGTTCGCGCTTCTTTTTTATAATTTTGACAATTTCCGGTGGTAACGGTTTTCTACCGATATATATACGTTTTAAAGGTGTGGTTTT